GTTTCTTCTACGGCATGATTTCTCCACAAAACTTTAACCAAGGGAATAGTCTTACTACGCAAAATCGGTTCCTTTCTGTCCAATATCTGAGCTGGTTCCTCTTCATAGGTAAGATTTTCTTTCAGCTCTACTGGTTGTGATCCCAAAACATGAGACGGATCTGGAATATACTTACGAAGCAACGAAACATGGAATACATTATGAATTCTAGACAATTCTGTTGGCAAAGCCATTCGATACGCAATTGGACCGATGCATTCAACAATCTCATATGGGCCAATACACCTCGGACCCAATTTACCTCGTTTACCAAATCTAATAACACCTTTCCATGATGACAATCGCAGGAAAACTCTATCCCCAATATCAAATTCAAGATTTCTTCTGCATCTATCTGCATAGTTCTTCTGTCTATCTTAGGCTGTTTTTAACTTTTCTTTAATTATCTTTCCTTTCTCAGTAGTAATCTAGACATATTCAGGACCCAATAACTTTCTTTCGCCAACTTCATCCCAACTTACTGGAGTTATGCATTTCCTACCATACACTGCTTCAAAAGGAGCCATTTCTATACTCGAATGATAACTGTTATTATAAGCAAACTCCATCAAAGGAATATGAGTATCCCAATTCCCTTTAAACTGTAATACACAAGATCGTAACATGTCTTCCAAAGTCTGAATAGTTCTTTTTTACTGACCATATGTCTGTGGATGAAAAGCTATACTAAAATAAAGTTTAGTACCCATAGCTTTCTGCAATCTGAGGCCAAAATTTAGAAGTGAAACGAGAATCTCTATCTAAAAAAATAGATACTTGTGTCCCATACAAACTGATTATCTCATCAACATATATTTTTGCTAATTTATCTAACGAGTATGTGACTTTAATAGGCAAAAATCTAGCAATCATCGTTAACTTGTCTACAATGATCCATATGACATCATGTCCACTCTGAGTCCGTGGAAGTCCAAATAGAAAATCCATAGTAATGTGTTCCCATTTCCACTCAGGAATAGGCAACGTTTGTAACAATCCTACTATTTTCTGACGATCTGGTGTCACTTGCTGGCAAATGAGATATCCAGATACAAACTCAGCTATTTCTCTCTTCGTTCCATGCCACCAATAGTGGTCTTTGAGTACATGATAAATTTTTGTACTACCTGGATGCATCGCGTAAGCTGAACTATGTGCCTCTTCTAGAATTTCTCCCTTCAATTTCGAATCATTTGGATCACATAATCTGTTTCCCATAACTAAAGCTCCGTCATCTCGAATGGTATAGTCTGTATGCTTACCATTACTATCTTCTTCTTTCAATTTACTCAACACTGGATCTTGAGTTTGAGTTTCTCTAACTGTGTCAATCAAAGTAGGCCTCACTTGGAAGTTGGCATACAATGCTCCTACATCGGTAATTGATAATTAGGCATGAGAAGCTCTGAACTCACCAAACAAAGATGAACATACTACATTAGTCAGGGTCATAGGACTCGATATTTTCCGACTGAGAGCATCAGCAACTACATTAGCCTTCCTGGATGATAATCAATCTTGCAGTCACAATCTTTTATTAGCTCTAACCATTTTCTTTGCCTCAAGTTTAACTCTTTCTGATCGAAAATATACTTTAAGCTTTTATGATCTGTATATATATGGCATCTCTCGCCATACAAGTAATGTCTCCAAATTTTCAAGGCTAGGACAACCGCAACTAGCTCTAAGTCATGTTTAGGATAACTCAGTTTCATGTTACTTTAACTGCCTGGAAGCAAATGCTATAACTTTCCCATTCTGCATCAAAACACAACCAACACCCTGATGTGAAGCATCACTGTATATCACAAACTCTTCACTTGGAGATGGAAGGATAAGAACTGGAGCTGACACTAATCTATTCTTCAATTTGAGGAAACTTCTTTCACAATTTTCATTCCAAACAAATTTAGCATTCTTTCTAGTCAAAATGGTCAAAGGCAAAGCAATTTTAGAAAATCCCTCTACAAAACGACGGTAATAACCTGCTAAGCTAAGAAAACTTCGTAATTCTGTCACATTAGTAGGCCTTTCCCATTTTACCACTGCCTCTGTTTTCTACGGGTCAACATAAATTCCTTCTATTGATATGACATGTTCCAAAAATATAATTTTATCAAGCCAGAATTCACATTTACTAAATTTAGCATACAACTGCTCATCGCGTAGAGTATGCAAGATGATTCTAAGATGCTCTATGTGCTCATCGTGATTATAAGAGTACACTAAAATATCATCGATGAATACAATTACAAATCTATCTAAATATGTCTATTCATCATATCCATAAATGCTACTGGTGCGTTGGCCAACCCAAATGGCATCACAAGAAATTCAAAATGATCATACCTTGTCCGGAAAGCAATTTTGGCACATCACTATCCCTAATTTTAAGTTGATGATATCCAAAACGCAAATCGATCTTTGAAAATAGTGTAGTACCGCGAAGCTAATCGAACAAATCATCAATACGTGGCAAAGGAGATTTATTGTGAATTGTCACTTTGTTTAATTGTCTATAATCTATGAACAGTCGCATCGTGCCATCTTTCTTTTTCACAAACAAAACTGATCCTCCCTACAGAGATACATTAGGTCTGATGAAACCCTTGTCTACAACTCTTGCAACTGAACCTTTAGCTCTTTCAATTCTGCCGGTGCCATTCTATAGGGTGCCCGTGGAATAGATGGAGTTCCTGAAATCAAATCTATAGTGAATTCCACATCCCTATCTAACAGTAAACCAAGTAATTCTTCTGGAAATACATCAGGAAAATCCTTGACCACTTGGATGTCTTCATGTTTTAATTTGCTAGCACTCGTATCAATCACACGAGCCAAATATGCATGGCAGCCCTTGTTGAGTAATCTTCTAGCGTCAATAGCAGATATCACACAAGACGGTAAAATTTTGCACTATCAATTAAATATAATTTCAGGCTATCCTGGCTGTCTAAACACAACCTCCTTTCTAAAGCAATCAACTGAAGCTCGATTTGTTACCAGAAAGTCCATACCCAAGATAACATCGAAATCATGTATGTCAAGAAGTATTAAATTTGCCTTCAGCTCGTTCTCCTTTACCTTAATCCCACAATCTTGATAATAATGATTCTCCTACTAGTGTTTTCACTACCAAACAACTGCCTAGAAGTTCTGGCTTTTGATTTGCATAAAAAGTAAATGAAAATGACATAAAAGAATGTGTAGATCCAGGATCAATCAAAATACGAGCATTTCTATCGAAAATAGACAACATACCCATGATAACATCTAGTGACTCCTCTACTGCCTGCTGAGTCATAGCAAAAATCTTTCCCTGGGTCTTCGATCATCCTGCCTGACCTTTTGATTTTGTACCACTACCACTTGCAATATTAGACTAGGCTACACTGTTTTCACATGTTCTATTAACTGAATCATCTCTCTGAGTCTAATTCTGTCGTGTACTACCAGCATTCTGTTGAGGAAACATCCTATGTGCCATGCCACCCATCCAGAATATAACTGGGCAATTCCTTTTTAGATGTCCTTCTTGGCCATAGCAATAACAAACACTAACTCTCTTGAACTTTAAACACTCGCCAGGATGAGATCTTCCACATAATTGGCAAGAAGAAAATCTGGCACTAGTAGAACTCTCTCCCTGTCTCGGAGTAAATGATCTCTGGGAAGTACCTTGAGTATAATTAAGACTGGCCAATGGCTGTTGTACAGTACTAGGACTGAATCTAGGACCCTAACTTATTCGGAATCGAGATTTGAATTGACTTGAACTGGATACACCAAGTCGAAATCCTCTACTGTCCCTCCGTAGTGGTCTATAGCTAGAAGCACTTGCCATTGTCTGACTACTGCTTGCTCTGAATATTGTTTGTTCTCTACCACTTAGCCTATCAGAAATGCTCTTTTCTACTCTCAAAGCTGATTCTACCAATTTGCCAAATACATTCCAACATGTAGCTATTATTACTGATCGGATATCTTCCCTTAACCCATTTTCAAATCATTTGCATTTATTAATTTCGTTGCTTACTAGAACTTAGGCCTACTTTGAAAGTTCACTAAATTTCACTTGATATTTTGCAACTGTCATCTGCCCTTGTACTAGCTTCAAAAATTCCTCTTGCTTTGCATCTTTATAGAACCGAGGATAATAGGCATCGTAAAAGATACGATGAAAATTTGTCCAAGTAATGATAGAAGGGTCTAGATATGTGCTCCGTACCGACTGCCACCAATCATATACACCCTCCTCTAATAAGAAAGTGGCAAGACACAACTTCCGATCGTCTAAGCAACTCATAACATCAAATACCTTCCCTATCTTGGTCATCCATGCCTGCGCAACTGCAGGATCGACTGTGCCAATGAAAACTTTAGCCCCTAATTTTGTAGCCCTCTCAATACTAAAATCTCTTTCAGTACTATGCATAGCCGAGGCAACAACAATAGCAATTCTTTCAACAGCCATAGGATCAGTTCCAACCACATTTTCCCGTCCCCGTTGTTCAGGAGGTTGGTGAACTGATTCTTCTACCCTCTCAGGCTCTCTCAGTTTATCTCTATCAGGAACAGTGTGAG